CGTAAACGAAACGTAAAGTAAAGTAAGTAAGTAACGTAAGTAAGTAAGTAACGTAGTAGTAGTAGTACGTAGTACGTACTAGTACTACTACGTACTACTACTCTCTCTCTCTCTCTCTCTCTCTCTCTCTCTCTCTCTCTCTCTCTCTCTCTCTCTCTCCAGAAGTTTTACCCCTAAATGAATGAAACAAATTCCACTTCACCTTCTATCTTTTCTAACATCAGGAAAAGAAACCTTTGCCTACTGTGCTTACCTCTAAAAAGTAGGATCAAAATAAAAATCCTCAAAGATTGAAATTTGTTGAGGAAACATACAATTTATTTTTCCGGAAAGTAATAACATGGCACACAATGGAAAATTTTTATGTAAGATTGCAACCTTATATTCTAGAAGTAAGGTGCAACTCAAGAATCCAGTAGAAAAGAGTGTTTTGAAGTTGGAAAACATTCCAATTGATGACTCTCAAAAAACAAAAAAAACAAAATTTCCAATTGATCATCTCGACCTCAAGATATATGGATATAAAGAAAAAAGAAAAAAGAACTTCAAGTCCCAAAAATAGTGCATCTTATATCAAGTTATATGGATCGTCTATTTTTTCAGATTTTTAAGTGTTTGTAGATTTGCTTGATCTACACCGATTTTGGAATTTTAAATTTCATAATTAGGGTTGAACATGGATTTCAAGTCATCGTAAGGTATCCAATACCAAAACTACATCTTCCGGAAATATTTCGAGTTGCGCCTTGCTTGTATCGTATAAGGTTGGCACCTTATACAAACCTCATATAATTAGTATATATATGATTAATAAAATTATGTACAATGAAATTATTATAATAAATGAATTATTAAATCACTTATAATACTTTTTAAATCTATTCATGTAATATGCCCTATTTAATAACTATCTTGTAAAGAAAGTCTCCTAAAACCTTCCAATTTGATACATGAGAAAATGCACATTTTTTTTTGAGAAAATGCACATTTTTTATATTCTATTTATGTAATATGTCTTATTAAAATGACCATATTAAAGAAAAATTCTCCTAAAATCTCTCAATTTCAATAAATTTTATCTATCCATATCTCTTTCTCATCATTTTCAAATGTATCCTAAATTCCTTTCAAAGTCATAGAATTTCTCTATCCACAACTCTTCCCGTCATTTCTCTCTATCTACACTTAAAAGATAGGATTCACTTTATTTAAAAATAGGAAAATAACCCATAAAGGTGGCTTGAACTCCCTCTATTTATAGGGCATATGCCCTACATTCTCTCTCCAAAAAGGGTCCCCTTCTATTCTTGCGACTCATGTCCACCCTCTAACTGCCGCTTAATATATGTACTATAGATAGTCAAAACCCATGAAACTAAGTTACATATTCTTCCACAATGTTCTAAAAGGGAAACTTATTCCTGAGTACTAGTTTTGAGTTAGATTGAATACACGAAGGCATTGTATGCTGTATAATCAATTACCTTTGGGACAAAAATGTCACTATCACCCCTAGGCTTCAGATGTGAAATTGAGCATCAGGGGGTGTATTGTTTCTTGGAGCCAAGTTGGAGAAAAATTTCCTCGGACTTTGAGTAAAGTCAATGCCACAATCCCAGCCATCAAATTACACATCTGATGGCTAAAGGTAATTGTTACCTTATTGTACAAAGATAAATAGTCTTATTATATGCTTTCCCTTATGTAAATTAGATTTTTCCGAAGTTCAAAACAGATAATTATTTCAATCTTACAAAGAAAATCAGATAAGATTTCTGAGTTGTAGTTTAAAACCAGATAAGATTTCTGAATTATAGTTTATTGCATTTATATTAAATTGCTAAATAAATAGCAGAGTTTTCCAATATGAAGTTTCTCCAATATGAAGTTTCTCAATTAGAACAGGATCTCACCATCATGTTGTAGGCGTCTTGATTAGCGAAACTTTTGAAGCGATCATCTACGACAATTGTTTGAGCTGACCCATCCGATGGCTGTTCCACTGCAACAGACGAAGATGGGTGCATGCCCGTTTGTGTATCCTCTATAGGGGCAGCTCGGTCCAGTACAATCTGTGACAAGTGCATGGACAAAAAAAATGAAGACTTACAGCAATAAAATGTAAGAGAAGGTATGGTCCAACGGATGCTGGCATATGTTACTCAGAGGCTTACACCCACCATGTATTCCCACTGATGGATGATTAACAGTGGTTGGACCTACAGGGTATGCACCCTGGTACAGTTAATCATCAAGACCCCAACCATCCGTCAGGGTGAATGGTGGATGTTACTTGAATTACCATACTACCAACCCAGGACATCAAGGGAAAAGTTTTGGGCTTTCTGTAGGTAATATTCCTATAGAGGTTAAAAGAGGTTCATGGGTTGATGTTGGGCTGACATCAAGTAAGAAAAGCAGCCAGTGGTTCCATCATCCATGTAAGTCTCCATACTTAAATTAAATATATCACAATCGGCAGTACGCACCACTGGCAACAACTAGTCAAGAGAAACAATTGAATAGAAAAAACTAGGAAAAGAAAAAGAAGAAAAAGAAGACGAAGAAGAAGAAAAGAGCTCAACATTGATGCTGACAAGCCAAAATCATAGCAATGGAAATTTGTTTTCTGTTATAAGCCATGCAGTAAACAAGTCCTGGCCTCTAAAATTCTGTCATGAAAGGAAATCATGCGTCATTTGATATCATAAACAGTAAAAGTATGGATAATTTCATGAATGACATACCTTTTGACCTAAAATTCTATGTTCTCTTTGACAAGCATATTCAGCTGAAGTTTCATCAGCAAATGTGACAAAACCAAATCCTCTATGTGACAATTTTTTGTCATCCTGCAGAGAAAGGAAATCAAACATTGTTAAAGGTAATATGCCATAGACAAAAAGATGGTGCATTAAATTATAGCGCCAGACTAGGGCTATCGGGCAATTTGCCTCGTAACTGTGATTCTGATTTTGGATCCCCATACCCATAGTACAGCACTCAAACAAAACAGCAAACAAGTAATAACTTTACCTTGGGCAAATACACATCTAAGACAGGTCCATATTGACTGAAGTGCACCCGTACATCCACAGCATTTGCTTCGATAGGGATGCGCCCGACAAAAAGCTTCTTTCCCCATTTAGCAGGTGGAGCAGAGTGAGCCACTGAACCATTTTCAGTTGCAACACCAACCATCTCAGAAGGCAGGTCACTGTCATTCCCCAGCGATGAAGGGACTCGATCTGAAGGAGTTGCAGATTCAATGGCAATCTGCCCCAACAAAATGTGCAGCGCTTCAGTATGAGAAAAAGATTGTAGATTTAGAGACAAAGCAAACTACAAATTCTCCAAATGTAAGTCAAGGCTTTTGCATATCATAGAGTATTGCTTCCATTCAATGACAGGAATTCTTTTTTATTTTTTTGGATATCCATCTATGATAGCACCGGCAAAGTCAAGACTTCGAAAAATAATCCACAAGCTATACGATCCTAGCCTCGGCCTCCACTTTTCAAATTAAAGAGAAAGACCTAAACAAACTATAAAATTCTAAATTGCTGCACCGCTTCTCTAAACAGAAATGAGAACATAAAGCATCCATAGATTGTCATACATAAACATCCAAAGACACATTTCTGGACAACTCAAATCCTAAAATCTGAAGCAGTAGAAAAAATATTTTTCAGTTCGTCAATTCATCATCAACATTCAAGAAACTTAAATGCACTTGCATTGCCAAGCGACTTCAGTTCATCTATAAGGCAATCATATATTTGATCAAACCTATTTACAGTTCTGAAGTAAAAGACCACTACTGTACCTCACGGCCATGAATAAAGTGTCTCGTACGGGTTACACGTGCAGCTGCCGCTTCATCTGCAAATGTGACGAAGCCAAATCCCCTGTGAGATATCTTCTTTGCGTCCTGTATACCACGACGAACCAATTATATAATGCATACAAATAGGAATATAGAAAAAGATCCCAGGAAAAGGTGGTAAAAGATAACCTTTGGGAGATACACATCTGTAACATAACCAAACTGGCTGAAGTATGCCTGCAGATCTTCAGGTGTCGTTTCCATAGGAATGCGACCAACAAACATTTTCTTTTCCACTTGTCGAGGAACCTGGACAGTAACCTGTCCATTACCTAGTCCTGATGAACTGGTATCACCTGCAACTATAATCTGCCCTGTTAAGGGGACTTCTTGGGCTGGAAACGTGCTAGGTAGAACTATCTGGTTCGGTTGATGGATGGGCCCTAATGCTGCTAAATCTTTAACAACAGGAGTATATCCACCCATTTGTGGCATTGCAAGAAAATGGGGTGTCCTTAGATGATGATTTGACATTCGATATGCTCTAGTGTCATCCTGAAACACAACCCGAGTTGATGATGTGGAGAAAAACATCGCACACCATGGAAATAATAATAAAGGGATTGTGGCTATTGTTTTATATTGACACATGTGCCCTAACAAAATCCAACATGCATGACTCAGTATGATAAACACAAACCTTCGGAGTTGCTCGGTCAACAGCTATGGTGGAGCCTTCGAGTTCATGAGTTTCTGACATAAGTTTATCAACTGACTCTGTTTAGGACAAGATAGGAACTGGTTATTACCTTTATAAATTATTGATTCATTACCAAATCCATTAACCGTTAAGTTAAACCAATTGTACAGGATCACTTAGTGATGCATCTAGAAGCCTCTCAAAAGGAGTCCGTACCATACCTGGATTCTCGAAAGTAACAAATCCAATTCCTCTATGCTGCCTTGACAATGGATCCTGGATGCATAGTTCTCAAATTTCAGAACTACCAATAGAACACAAAAACTACAAATCTATGATTTCAGTTTAAGGTGTGGCATCAATATTCAAGTAGAGACACATAAAGTCATAAAGATATCCAACTAAATTACCCCAACTCTCTAATAGATCTTGATTTCTTCCATTACATTCAGATATGCTAGTAATAGATCAGAAATGAGTCATGCAGAACACATAATGACTAATCCACCCCAATGTCCTACTTTTTCCATAGTTATCATCATTGAAATGAAAGGACCAAACTTGTGAACCCACAGGATAAATTTGTAAATGAAAAGAATGTTTATCTTTTCATATTTTCAAACAAGACTCCTAAAGCAAGTTGAAAGATCTATTATCTATGTAAATAATGTTGATGCTATATCATGTCTCAGTTATACTCTCTCCCTCCCTCCCTCCCTCCCTCTCCGAATCAATCCTTTTCTCTCTCTTTAACTCAGCTAAATCCATCCCTCCCAAATCAATCTTTTGGTGGGTGTCATCAAATTTTGGTTTTTGATAATAAATCTGTTTTTATTTTTGTATTTGATAAAATATCATTTATTCTTGATAAACATGCTCGAGTATGTTGGGCCAGCAACAGCAAACTCTTCCACCCCATTTCTTCCTTGGCATTCCATCAGAGCTGGCAGTCTCTCCTCGTGTTCTGCCCCACTAAGTTTTCTAAATCCTCTTTCTGGCGGCTTCCCAGCATAGACCAAATCAAACTAAATTTTGATCAATGCTCTTTGGGCAACCCGGGACTGTCAGGAGTGAGGCGGTTTATTTCGCAACTCGGAGAGTACCATTATCCTTTCTTACTCCTACCATATCGAGATTTTGGACTCGACAGCAGCTGAGGCCAGAGCTCTCCTCCCCCTTTCTTAATAGAAGGGGACAACCGAAACGTGATAGATTGGCCTCAGGAGCATCCCCCTGCCCCTGGAGACTACAACACCTCTTTGACAAAATTTTCTTTCGCTGCTCAGGCTATCAGATCACCTGGAGCCATACCCAAAGAGAAGCTAACTTCGCAGCTGATTCTTGTGCCAAAGAGGAGGCCTCGACCCCCAACTCGGTAGCTCCTCGCCTGTGATCCCTGCTACCCTTCTTTCTATCTCTCCTATCCCTCTGTACATGTTTCGTTCTGCTGCATTATCTTGCTGAGAGAATGATTTTTTTGGAACCCTTGAGGTTCCTTTTTTTAGCCCCTGCTTACTTGGGCCTTTTTCGTTTTTCGAATGTACTTTTCTCCCTATCAACACAAAGTTAACATTCTCAACCAAAAAAAAAAAAACATGCTTGAATATCTTTTTTATTTGAAATTTTTGAATCATTCTTTTTTATCAACTTCAACTGTTATTTCCTTCATTTTATGCTGCGCAATGTGGCTGATCCAACACAGAACCAGTGGGTGACTGGTTTGACCCACTAGTCCGATGTTTTTAACAACAAATAAAACCAACAAGATGACCATTTAAGAATGAGGGGAAAAAAACAAGATCTCCCCCCAAAATGAGCGAGGTTTTGCTTCCCACATGCCCACTAAGAAGCTGGCTTCACGATCAGAAGAACTAATGACATGGTGAAACATCAGGGCCCAAGGGTGAAACAATGTTAAAGATTCTTCTATCCATGATTCGCCAAGGCCCAAGAGTAATAAGGCATCATCCACCAAGACCATCTAATAATGTTACAATAATTACTCTATCAGGTTGTCACACCCCAATAAGAACTGGCTGCACACTCCATAACCTAATCATGAGTGCCTTGGCTGGGGCATGTCTGGTATCCCCACTTGCAGAAGGCTCGAGAGCACCATTTGCAATGTTCTAGGACCACCTCTGATCTTGCTCCATACCCTTGATCGACGGGTTATCAAAGAAGCATCCACAAAAATTTACATTCAGAATGCCTCCTTATGTGTGGAGTCATATAGCATGAGGGAATTCCTAGATGATTACGAGCATTTTACGATCCCTCCACAAACCAAGTAAAAAATCAGAGTCCCAACCAAAGAAATCCTTAAGAACAAGGCCAAGGGCTAGGATAACATCAAATCTCTCTCATCATGAACTTAGCTAAATCTGGATCATAATCCACTAGAGATCCTCCCATCTTTCTTTACAGATATCCTAAATTTATCACAATTAGGCATGGAAACCGTCTCCATAGTATGTACCCTTTAGGATGGTATGTTCATGCAACCAGGAAAGAGTCAAGAAAGTACTCAAAGTATTGTTTTATTTTATTTGTTTACAGTATCCCCTCCTTAATACATGCTTCATCACCACTCAACAAGTCAAGAAAGCATTCCACAATCGACATAGCCGTGAAGCCCAATGAAACCAAGTTGATAGAGTTGTAAGAAGGAACGAAGGCCTGCAGGGTTTTGACAATGTTATAAGGAATGCAAATGAAATGAGCCTAAGGTGCCATACAGCATGTCTTTGCATTAAGGATTCTACACTGGCCCGAGTGAATTTTGCATTGACTAGGTATGTATTTTGGCAAAGGGTACTGAAGGACCTCATATTCTTGACAGATTCATTCATCAAATTGCTTAGAAGGGGTCCCACCTATCAGGAGATTGAAGAGATCTTATTATGTTGCAGATGCTAATTGTCAAATGTTTTGTATTTTGAATGTCATTTATGTACTGAGGGAGTATACAGTGATTGATAGAATGATATGGGTGTATTTTTTCCATATATAAACACGGATAAGGTATATACGGGGTCCCAGCTACCTGGGAATTCAAGAGATCTTAGTTTGTCGCAGACATTTATTTTCAAATGCTTTGCATTTTGAATGTCATTTATGTACTGAGTGAGGATACAGCGGTTTTATGGAACGACATGGGTACATTACACGGCTAAGGTACAACATGCCACCTAGGCTTTTCTTTTTTTTCTTTTGAAGCTAATCAACCGGATGGCACCTGGGGACTCAACCTTTTAATTCTGCCATTTGTGATCTCTCTTACATTATACTAATTCAGTAAATTTATCAAAATACCCATAAGAGATTAAATACGTAATATTTTACCCGTTGGAAACTATTCCAACTCAAGACCAGGTGTTTTTTATGGGTGTTTTGAAATTAAATCAAAAGTATGGGTAAAGCGTTAAATTGCTAAATTGTTTCATCTCTTATGGGTAGTTTGATAAACTACCCTACCAATTATTAACTCTAGGAAACAACAATATTAACACAAAATTAGAACTTTTAGAACATTTTCCAAACACCTCAAAAGTATTTTGCATTTTCCTAGTGCAGAAGTATCTGGGTGAATGGTCCATTATGCTAGATTGACAAACATTTTTCAATAGTATGCAATGAAGCAGGTTTCCAGACACACATAATTGAGATCTCATCATATAAAAAATAAAAATCATGAGCAATAACATAGAGAAACTGCACTGTACTACACCAAATCACTAATATCAACAAGAAAACATCTACATCAGTTAAGTTCTCAGAGAAATCAATAACCTTCAATCCTTTACAACTTCCAAGCTCCTGCAAACAGCTCATCACTGACTCCATGACTTTATTACTCAGATGATAGTAATATAAAATTTAACTATTTTATGCCATTAAATTCAGCCAAGTGGCAGGTTCTGCAGAAGTAGTGACTCATGTTAAACAACCAATTTGAATATAGTAGAAGAAATTCAGTGGAACATAAAGAATGACATACTTTATAATGAAAAACAGTTTAAAAGAACTGAATGCATGCAAAAAGATCACAGAAATGAAAATGACCAAGTGGGTGACAAATCAAATTTACCTTTGGCATGTAGGAATCTTTTATTAGACCATATTTCGCGAAATAACTGCAATGATCACCTATACCCAATCAAATTTCCTTACAGTCAACTAATACACATTACATTCCTATAAAACCAAACAAAAAGAAAGTTGTGTAATAAATAACAAAGCCAATGAACGCAAAGCATAGATGTAGCATAAAGGTGCTGCCCAAGCATAAGATTTGTTGAATTTAACCAATACCGAAGCAGTAATCCAAGGAACAACAGCCAATATAATGACGCTTGGGACTTTTATGAGGCAAATAGTTCAAGCAGCAAAATTTAAGGCTTGTGACATAGAACTTGCCTTTTACTCCATCTTGACATCCCAATTCTTGGTCAGAATTGCAATTACGCTAGAGCATGTGATGCATAACTTGAGGTGAATCCAGATCCTCACTATAAACAGTGTCACTCTATTCGAGAAGAGACAGATCGCCTGTTTAAGGCCACACAAAGCAATTACCAAATCCACTTCGTGTCCTATTCTATATGTAGGCCTCAGTGAAAGTAGGTAAGAACTATCAATTTCCTTAGAGTGACAGGAGGTTCACAAATCCCCCAAGGGGATTTTGTCTTTGTTTTTGCTTTTTTTTTTTTTTTTTTTTGTTGGGGTGGGGGGGGTGGTGTTGGGGGTTGGGGTTTGTTCTCAACTTTAAGATAAGATCAGCCCAAAAGTCACTCTTTGGGAAAAGTGGCATTGGAGGTTTCTTCTTTTTTCTGTTTTTTTTGCTCAATTAGCCGAACTGAAGATTGCAATTACAAGAGTACCAAAGAGATGGCAACTGAAGGTGGCTGCAAAAAATATGGTGTCAAGGCTGGGAAACAGGGAATTGGAAGCTGCAGCACTTGCATAGGGCATCAGATGCGTCAGAGATACATGGATCTTGCAAAAGGCAGGTAATCGCATTAATTGAAATGGGCAAAAGGTGAGATTCTAAAGGGGGTCCCTTATTCTATGCATGTCTGTGGAGTGTGTACTTGGGAAAGAAGTTGTTGCTCAAGACTTGTCTATGAAGGGATTACGAGGTTCCCAACATTTGGAGAGGTTTGTGTAGCGAAATGTCTGGTCACCTATTATCATAGGCAATTTTGTGGGAAACCAGACTTTTTACGAGAATGCTCAGTATACCATCCATTTTAAGGATATAACACTCTCTGAACTCATATACAACAAAGAACCTCACAAAACCCATCCAGCTTCTATCACATTCAGAAAATTGGACATCTAACACAAGTTTTAGCAACTCAGTACACATCCAATTATGGATATAACACTCTCTGAACTTATACACAACATAGTAACCTTGCAAAACCCATCCAGCTTCTATCACATTCAGAAAATTGGTCATCTAACAAAAGTTTTACCAACCAAGGCAAGTCTAATATTGCACATTTCATTGAAAAATATTACGCATTTCATTGAAAAATATGAGATTCTCTAGTTAAGGGTATGTTTGACATAACACAATTTTGATATTTGGATTTCATATTTTTTAAATTAGTTATTAAGTTAATATATGTTTTCATGTGTTTGTTGGACTATCAATCTGTATTTCAGAATTCTTATAGACTTGATATTTTTTACTGTTTGGTCATCAAAATATTAGATTTTTATGAAACTAAATTTCTCTCAGGTGACCTATCAAACAACTTTGGTGCCATGGCAATGCTACCTGAGCCAAGCATGAGTATCAGCAATCACTACTTTCCAAAAAAGGTCTATGTTCTCTCATTTTCCTGCAATTACAATAAAATACAAAATCTAGAGCAAGAAGAATCTTCCTTATATCTCGGCCTCTAAAACTTCTGGTAAAAGACAGGAAGTGAGGAAAAAACAACACTAAAGAAACAAGAGGGGAATGAGCAGCCAAAGAAGGTAAACCCTTACTCTCAATGAGTTGCAATCCCAAGGTTCCAACTTAAATTTCCTATCATGCCCATAACTCTCATGCCGTTTAATTTTCACTGTGGAACTTATCCTCATAAATTACGGCAGACACATGCTCTCCAAAATTCTCCCATCTCACTCACAGCACTTTCCCATTCAAAACCCTTCTTCTTCTTCATTTTTAATTTGGACATGGACAAACCATCAATCTTCAATTCGTCCTTGTCAATATCATTCACTTCACAATGCATCTCCTGCAATTTCCTTGTGCCAATAACTTCAACAACTTCTTTCTCCAACTTCTTTAACCCCAAAAATCCCACTAAAACCCATAATTTCCCTAAATCAACCCCATTCATCGCATAACAATTCTCTACCAGAAATTCCCTTTCCTTCTTTCCACTCCTCTAATCCTAATTCATTGGTGTTTCTCTCTTTCCATACATTTGCAGAATGGCAGACAGAGGAGAAGTTGCAGGCAGATGGAAGGAACAGCTACCATTTGAGAACTTCCATGTAAGAGAGAGGGGCGAGAGAGAGAGAGAGAGAGTTGTGCTTACTACAGAAGGCATTGCATATCGAAAGGTAATATTAGAGAGAGAAAATAAATGTGAGAGAGAGAGGCAATGGGGGGATATGGAGCCCCAGCCTTGAGAAATGGGAAAGCTTAAGGATTTAGATCATTAGGAGGCACAATAGCAAATCCCATTAGATTCAATCGATAGAGAAACCAGAGCCCACAAGATAGCATTTTCTAAATCACCAAAAATTCAAATCAGACCTGAAATTTTTAGAATTCAAATATGAAGCTATTATCTGAATTTTAGAAGATAGGAATCAGGAGTATCAAACAGGGTCTAGAAACTTTCCTGATTAGTATTATATTAGATACTGCAATATCCTGAAATATCAGGATATTATAGTGTGGTACTATTCAGAAAATTTTGAAGGAAAGTGGAAGAAAATAAGATTAGATGAGGCACAGAGCAATTGTGTCGCAGCAGACGCTATACAGGGAAAACTGAAGATCTGTTAATTATCAGTTAGTGTCTTCTTTACACGTTCTTGGAGAGGCCAACAAGATCAGTTATTCTCCTGCTAGAGGCGCCAAAACCATGAGACGTATGGCACAGGAGAGTGCCCCACTCCATTGTAAAGATGATTGTGAAAAAATTATCACCTAGCAACATAATTAACGTAATCAAATTTGAAGGAATTCTCAACCCCAAGACCATCAACAGTAATTTTGAGTTGAATTCCCAATTACTGATATTTTTAGACTTGAGCTTAATATTTTCCTTGATATCTGTTATTGACCGTTACTAGCATGGACAAATTCAGAAATTTTTGCACATAAGATATGTGTAACATCTTCAATTTAGCCACTCTCATCATCACTAAGACCAAAGATCAGACACTTTTGATGTAAGTGAAGCTCTTTTGCTATATCACAACCATGTAGAAATGAATTTCAAACACGTGATTCCTTCCGCTACATAACAATTTTTTAACATGGATCAACCTTTATTTTACTTTGTTTTCCCAATAAAGAATCAGATTTTATTTACTTAACGAGTTCGCATCCTGCTCCAAAGGATCCGAGAAAATCAATGTTGATGGTAGCCTCAGTGGTTATCACCGTAAAGGTGGTTGAGGTCCAGCATGAATTGGTCTCAGACATGACACGTAAATTGTCAGGTATCTTAACCATTGAGGGTGATTCCTTCAGTACCAACAGAATGATTTGGTCAGTGGAAATTTCCTTCTTTCAGAGCCCTCCAAAGCATTAGAGTCTAGTTCTCGAATGACATTTTGGACTCATTTCATTATGTTTTGCATCCTACAATTGTTTCCCTACTATATTGTTATTAGTGAATCATGGAATTATGTTGCCAATATTTTGAATTATCCCAAAATAAATAAGTATACTATCATAATGGCAATGCACAAGATTATCATCATCATCCAAGCCTTATCCCAATTATTTGGGGTCAGCAACACACAAGATATGAAAAAATAAAAGACCACAGGATGCATAGAAACCTGTGAAATGTCTCATCTGTCACACTTGGAGGTATTCTGGCTACAAAAATGCGAGTACTTTTTCTTCCTGATGGCACCATTTCCTCCTGCAAGGGGTCAGAAATTTCATAATAAACTTTCAGTATGCCAAGGAACCAAATATTGAACAAGATAAACTAAAAATGTAGAACTTAAGTTTCCTATATAAGTGTTCTCAATGTTTTGTTTCTATGTTTTCTATTAAATCAGTTTCAGCCAACCCCATATAAAGCACCAGAACCATAACACTAAATTTATAGAGAAACTTCAAACAAGGGCACAACAAATTCTGCCAGCAAGGTTTATCTCAGTAACATATAAAGAAAAAAGGGAAACAAAAACAAGTAAATGATTAAATAATGCTACAACGATCAATAGGATACCATTATGCCAGATAAACTACCATGGAAGCTGATGTCAAGAGACCCACATTCTTCGCGTAATTAAAATTGTCCCTTTAAAACTTATAAACCAGAATATGAAGAGGCATGGTAATCCACACCATTTCAAGATTACTGTCATTCATTCATGTCCAGTAAGCTGTAAATTTGTAGTAAAACAAGAATGGGTCTCTAAATGTAGCTTTCTCTATTATAAGTAGAACCAAGGATGCACTGAGGAGCAGTTTTTTTGTGGGACCTAGAGCGAATGGCTTCTGCCATTACCTTTATCTTAAAAAGTCTACACGGTCCATTATGGCGTTTGTCCTCAGTTCGCTGATCTTTCTCACCTTGGACCCCTATTCCACATAGAGGCTTGAAAGACCACTCCAAGTGGAGGAAATCCCGCAAGCCATCTCCACCTTACCAAAGACAAGGCACTAGACCCTAATGGTTTTTCGATTGCCATCTTTTCTAGGTACTGGGACTCTTTCTGCACTAACATCCCTGTTTTCTTCAATGAGTTCTTCCACAGAGGCATCATTAGCAAAGAAATGAAAGCCACCTTTGTTGCCCTCATCCCCCATACAAAATTGAGACGACAGATTGTTGGATTTGGTGCTATCCAAAATCACCCACTTCAAGAATTCCCATATTAAGCGGGATTAAGATATTTTCATATTATATGGGATTGAGATATTTCCTTGTTATGTGGGATTGAGATTGCTATTTGATAAGTTCTCTAAAGGAAATAGAAATCCAATAATGTTAGGACTCTTTGATGGATATATCTCTTAGTCTTTTGAAGTATATATAACATCAATAGGAAGTTTCCTACTTAGTATGGACTCCTAATCTTATATATATGGGATGAAAGTCTAGAGAATTTGTGTGCCCAATTTGGGTCACCATATGGTAATGGTGGTTCCTCTAGAGAGAGAGGGAGGTAGAGGCTCCTGTGCATAAGATGCAATTTCCTCTTTGCGAGAAGAAGCTTCCTATGAAGATAAACATTGATGATGCCTCCTGAAGACTCCTGTAGAGTGAGGTTGGTTTCTTGTAGAGAAGCGGTTCCCATAGAGATTTTGGGTTGTTTCCCCTTTTAGTGAGATAAAATCTCGTTTGCTCTCAAAGTTGTTCTCTTCCTAGACAGTGGTCTAGTTATGGAATAGAGATGAGAGATCGGCATGGTGCCGTTTGGGAGAATAGGTTTAAAAGGGTTTGCTCGACTGTGTTCTTGTTGAGGTTTGTTCCAAAATCTAGGATATAACTTTCATTGGTATAGTGGATTTCAATTTGTCGTGCCTGTGGATGTAGCCCTTATAGGGTGAAACACGTAAATATTTGTGTTCTTGTGGTATGTGTTTCTTGTTTTATTTCTCATACTTTATTTGACAAAAATCAACCTGTCGGATTTAGAGTTTCCGCGCACAACAAGTGGTATCAAAGCACAACACAGATGACGTCAAAGACTTAAGAACTATTAATCTCCTTAACTCCCCATGCAAAATCATCTCCGAATTCTCACCACGTGGCTGAGAACCGTCCTGGACCAAGTCATCTACCAAAACCAGAGTGGTCTTGTTAAAAACAGATAGATCCTTTATGGACCTCTTGTTGCTCAGGCTGCAAACCTTCTAGGGTTCGAGATGAGATTTGTCACCTTCAATACGCAGATGACACATTGGTATTTTGCAAGGCCATCATCAAACAAGTTGATAACCTGTGGCTTTTTCCAAGATGCTTTGAACTCGATTTTGGCATGAAAATCAACATGTCCAAATCTAAACTGATGGGGATCAATCTGTCAAACGACCGTCTTTCGTTCCTTACCAATACATGGGGTTGTGCTAATGACCAAATCGCAGCCAAATATCTTGGCCTCCCTCTCTGTTTAGGAAACCTTAGAAACGGCTTTTGGGACCCCATTGTTGAAAATTTCCAAAGAAAGGCTTGCCTCTTGGAAAGGGGGGTATCTCTTGGAGGGTAGCTCTCATCATACCCACACTCTCCAACATCCCAATCTACGTTCTCTCTCTATCTACGCTATCTCTCTTTTCAAAATGCCTACTAGCATCTTCATCCATCTCAAAAAAGTGATGAGAAATTATTGGTGGGCTGGAGACATCTCCAACCATAAAATCCACTTGACACCTATGGATCAAGTTTGTAAGTCTCTAAAGGTTGAAGGCCTTAGCATTTGTAACCTTGAGATGATAAACTGGGCTCTCATTGGTGAATGGTGCTGCCACTTCACCACCAACCAAAACCTTTTATGGCACAAATTTATCCTTTAGAATTATGGCAATGACTTACTAGGTTGGTTTCCAGTGAAACAAAATGCTTTTGCATACTACGAGCTTTCATGCCTTTCATAAGGTTTTAATTCAGGAGAAAAAGTTCTTCTTTGGAACCAAACTTGTATAGGCAACCAACTCTTTAGGGCAACTTGGACAAATCTGTATGCAATAGCTCTCAACCCCAGTGCCATTGTTGCCCATTACTTTGACATAACAGCATTGGCAAAGCTTGAACACCCACTTTCAAACGTGCCCTTCATCACCATGGATGGAAGGACCTATTATCTCTCTGTAGGGCCCTAGCCTCTTTCTTTATCAATGGATCTGGTCACAGGGTGATATCGGCTAAAGATCATATAGGGGTTTTCTTAGTTGCCTCCTCCTATAAAGCGCTTGACCCTGCCTTATCACACCCTCAAACCTCTCAAAATAAAGCCCGACTTACCCAAACCACCCCAAACACACACCCACCCCCCCGAAGACCAAATAAAAAATCACACGGCTAACCATCTTCAACCGCCACTACCTTAGAAGAGAAGAGGTTACAACTTCACAAGCACATGTCCTCTTTGCTGAGAGGAATGAGAAACTCGTTGTCATCTTTTCCTCCATTGTAAACTCGCCTCCGATGTTTGGCTCAAACATCTAAGAGACTTTGATTGGAAATGAATAAACCCAAGGACCATCAAACACCTCCTTTCTTCCTACTTCTCCCCATCCACCCACACCTCGGCAGGCCACTTGCTTTGGAGAGCCTTCATTGAAGCTACTCTCGGGTCCTTATCGGGGGAGAAAAAATCTTACATTTTTTCGAGAAATCAAGAATAGTGAGAGTGCAACTGAAGAAAAACCCAGAGATCTTACGATTTTTTGAGCTAACAATTGCAAGCATCCCAAGGGCTTTTCCAAAACAAATGCTGAATCCAATTGGAGGGGTAACTTTCAATCAACACCATCTCAGTCCAAAGTTTAGCTTCCCCACCCCATGGGGTCAGAAAGCTCAACATTGATAGATGCTCCATAGGGCATGCGTGCCCATGTGGTGTTGGTGGCATTTGCAAAGACTCGGAAGGATCTAACCTATACTCTTTTTCCATTCACATTGGTTTTGGTGATTCATGTTGGGCCAAAGCAACAAGACTCCTTGAAGCCCTCAAAAGATTCAACCCAACTTGGGGCAACCATCTTATTTTTTGAGAATGTTGACGTTACAACCTTTTTTTCAAGTGAGGAAAAGGGGGAGGGTCTTGTGGTGAGCATTACTTGTTGGGGCAACCATCTTATTGTTGAAGTAGACTCCAAAAATCTTATTTTATGGGCACCTAGCAACTCACACAGCCCTTGGAGACTCACCCCCATACTTTTTGTCCATATTGCTCATTTATGCAGGCCACTTCAAGTCAACTTCCATAACACCTGGTGGGAGGCAAACTCGATAGCTGACACGTACGCAAAAAATGGAGCCATACTCACACCCACTGCAGCACAATTGTAACCTCTGAGAGTTTGAGACGTTCTATTTTTTGCTTTTACAAGGCTCCAGGTTCCAACTTCTCGGGTTGAGTCCAGTATGTGGGATACCAATCATGTATCTTTCGGTTTTCTCTCTGTAATGAGTCTTCTTTCGCCCCCTCTTGAAGGGATTGGCTATGTGGAACTCAAGGTCGTAAATTCAAAAAAAAAAAAATTCTTTTTATTCAATATACATGAATTCCACTTACATAAACCGTTATACATTGTTATAAATCAAAATTAGAACCCTAAATACAACATGGGATCTTTACTATTACTGCAAAAAAAACAAACACCATGTAGGAGAAACAATCAATCTTCCACTATAGTTTTGAGTACGAAATATCTTCCTTGAAATTCAAGGAAAAAATATAAAATACGACTGAAAAATAATTAAATCAACGAAGCAGACTTACTAGATGATGCCTGAGTCACCCCCACAGGGCTTGGTACACCCCACAACCGATTCCCTGAGCCATTGCACATTTTTAATCCTTTAGGCCTTGCTGGAAGTTCTTAAATAAGGAAGCTTTTCAGACAATACCTTTCAATCTTGGGCTTTTAGAGAGCATAGAAACCTATTTACAGCTTGTAGGAACCCTATAGGATCAAATTTAGGGCTAGGCTTGAGGGTTTATTTCTCTCTTGGTTGGTTGTACCTTTCTTCTTCTTCAAAAACAGCAACGTCTTCACTTAGGGTGTCAAAATGCCACCACCCTTTTTCCTTTCTTGAGGGTGGGGTGACTCTATGAGGCAAGAGAAGGGAGACTCGTGGTTTAAAATTGACAGAGAGAGAGAGAGAGAGATATTTTCTTGATGTGAGAGAGGGGATACTTTCTTCACGTGAGAAAGAAAAATATATTATGGCGTGAGAGAGAGAGAGGTTATGTCATAATTTTTACAAAAAGGCTCAAGTAGGGTTTAACTAGAAAAAAAAATTATCTCTCACTTGGTAAAGGATTTCTCCAAGTATGCCTTATCTTATTTACGCAACTTGAACATTAAAATATTAGGAATCTATGGGGTGAGAGAGAATAAATATAATCCATCCGTCCCACAAATCAGCCATCATAACTTTGGGTAGTAATTAGCAACTTTATCCCCTTATAATTTGCCTAAGTCCAACTTCTATTTAAATTTAAATTATAATTACTTTTAGTATTATCTAGATCTTCCAAAATCTAGAAGAAGTCAAAGATAATCTTTTACTTTAAAACTTCCACTTAAATATAAAAGAAATCTATTTTAATTTTAAGAGATTCCCTAACTAACTAAACTAGAAAACTTTTAACTAAAAGTGGTACATAAAATAAATGGGGCATGCCACCCTAGAGATATTATGCCCCACAAGGCCACAGGTCCCACTCATGGATGGCACACACATGTGGGGTTGGATCCTTGATCCCCACATATTATCAAAATAAATTATTATAGAAGTAGACTGGTACTAATGGGTCAAACATAGCGACAACAAGGGCACTCCGCTTAACCCAAGAACAATGATCAACTATTGTTCTCTTATCCAACCCAACAAAGACCTATGACCTACAATCTCAATGCAGGAGTTGATAATTGGCTTGTCAAAGTTGGTGAATAAACAGTAAAATTATAACCTAACATATGGATTTCAGTCCCCTCGTTTAAGAACAAGTCTAGCACTTGTCACCACAATGCAAAAGGGGCTCTTTATGCACATGTACACGTATCCCTCTATAGGGCTGCTTCCTAGTAATGCGATTTGTCACATGCATATGCCGTACAAAAGTTGGTTGAGGTTTTGGCCCTTGCCCTTAGAGGCCTACAAGTGCACACATGAGACCACACAGATCTCCTGACCTACAAACATCATCCCTAAGCATCTCTCCAACCTCAACAAGTGATGACCCACTGTAAACCCTTATCGATAATGCCACATGCCCAGGGGTAAGGGTTTTAGAGATAACCAATATCTTAAACCGCCCAACCCATAGTCAGACAACGCACACACTCCCATTGAAGTGCATATTCCGCTATAAAGTTATCATTTTTACAAGCTCTCTAGGCCTCTAAAGGCCACAAAACCCCACACCTCTCCCCCAACTCTCGATGCTTTATTGGCTCTCTTTCTCGTCTTCTGCTGCCCCCCCCCCCCTCCGGGACTCTCCTCTCTATCTACACTCGCTCTCTCTATGCTCTTTCTCTCCTCTCAAACTTTCTCTCTCTCTCTCCTTACCCTTCTCTTGACGACATCTCTACCCACTCTCTATGTTATCTTTCTCATCCCTATTCACTCTCTTGCTCTTCCCCAACCCCCTCCCCCCCCCGACCTAGAGGACCAAAAAAAAAAAGAACTCTTCCTGGATCTCTTTCCTCCCCATGCTCTCTCAATCTCCCCCCACTCCGACCCCTTCTTTTTCTGCTTCCATGCTCTCTCTATATCTTTCCTCCCTTATACTCCCCCATTCCTCAATTCCCCCCTCATTCTCTCTCTATTTCTTTTCTTTATGCACTCCTTCCCCTCCCCCACTTTTTCTTCATCAAACTTCTTTGTAACTTAGTCCCTCCCCCGCTTTATCTTGAGACTTGTTACTTAAGATATAATTTTTTGATAGTGCATGACTGAGCAATCGTCATGACGGCTAATGATACCCACATCTTATGGCCTTTTTGGTAAATCATACTCTTATGCTTTAATATAATATCACCTTTTCTTTTCAAAAAAAAAAAATCTGAATAATTAGCTTGCGAAAGGTGGTCTAGTTGAATGAATTTTATTATTTCAAGCACTGGGTAACAAGGATATACTCTCAAACAAGGCAAGTCAAGCTGAAGAAAAACTTCGTGAATATAACAATTGCAACTATAGAGTAGGAAACAATCTATAATTCATTGTTTTAAAATGTTGTCGCATCGCTGCATATGCGGCCCATAATGCGCTATGCCCCCCAAAAGTGCATCATATAGGGGTGCATATGCACTTTGGTGGGATACGCCCGCATATTTGCCGCATCCTACCGTATATGTTTCATAGTGCATAGCGCATATGCGCCGCATAGCTCGTGGGTGAAAATGGTGCCCACAAGCATGGGTATTTTTGGGAGGGAAGGGTCTTGGTCCCCCACCAGCCCCCAACCACAAAAAAACAGCCACAAATGTGGCTGTTTTTAGATCAAATTGAAAGGGAAAAAAAATTGGCGAAAATTGTTTTTGACAAAAATCGTTGATTTGCTCTACTTATTAGTTGGGTTGCCAATTGGAATTAGCTTGGGCATTGTTTTGAAGACGTTTGAGTATAGATTCGTCGACCTATCGAGGGTTTCAAGGGTCAAAAATATATTGAACCAAATTTCAATCAATCGGTAAGTTTTTGTTTCCTAAACTAAACACTTTTTTTTTTAGGAGGCAAGGTCTTCTTCACAATCTTTGAGTAACAAGGATCCAACTTGGAAATACGCAGAACTCAAAAATTTGAAAGATCGAAATTATATTATTTGTACTCTTTCTGAATATTTATATGGGGGGTATTTTCCGACAAAAAAGAATATCTAGTCGGTATTACTGGGAATAGCAGAGCATGCCCACAAGTTATCGAAGATATTAAAAGGGAGATAAGAGAATACATGGATAGCTTTAAAAAATGAAAAAATTATGAATTATGATAATGTTATAATGCCTTCTATAAAGTTAGTTTCAAGTTTCTACTTTCTACTTTCTATTTCTAAAATCTTTTATCATCAGATTCAGAGTCTCTAACAGCTGGTATGTAATATTCTAGTTAATGAACAAATTAAATACCTACTATCACATAAATCACCTCCATATTTTTCTATGCATTAACCCATTTCTTGAGATTTTTTGGTTTTTTTTATATTTATTGACAGCATCAAGGTGATGCACCCACATCGCCCCCCAACTGCTCGGGACACACATCCCCCATTTTAAAACATTGCTATAATTTGCAAAGGATTGCAAGCTTGGTTAAATTTTCAAATGTCTTTATGTTCCTAATATATGCGAGTTTTATTGGGTTGAATGGAAAAACATATCCAGGTTTGTCAAGAAAGAAACCTGAAACACATCCACAAATCTGCCAAATCATTACCCAAACGAAACAAACAGAACAAATGTGTCAACATTTCCCCACAAAAGAGTGATGCAAAAACAGATTGGATACAAAATTATCATGGGTACCCCATATATTGCTAAGAACATTGATTAATAGTAAAGAAAGTGCAAGCTTTTTTTGAACTATTTTACAAAGATGCACAAACCTTTGGGGTTGCCACTTTGATTTCGAGGGTCCTCCCATTCAAAGAATGCTCTACCGCCAAAGCTTTCTGTTGAAATCACAGGGTCATAATATTAGAATAGACATTCAACATGAGGAACTATATGACGAAACCTTCATAAACAAATATTTCTCGCTTGGAATGATACTTGTGCATCTTCTGGAGATGAGAATGTGACATATCCAAAACCACGTGACCGCCCCGTTATACGATCCTAATCATCACAGTGAATTGGAGTGATAAGCCAATAGAAAAAAAATTCTCAAAATAGAAAAATTCAATTCTTAAAGTTTTGAAAGGAACAGCTACTATTTGATCCTAGAACCTATTTCAAATCCTGGCCATACAAAGAATGACAAATAGCCACACAAGTAGCTCCGAACTTCCACATGTTTACATGCAAATATAGAAGTCCACAACAAAAAGAAAGAAAAACTTGAATATAAGTTTCATATTTCATTACATAAATGAATGGCCAAAATGTCGGCCAAAGTCGAGTTACAAAAGGTTTGATGTTTTAGGCAATGAAAATCTGGTTTACCATGAATCAACTATCAATATTATGGCTACAAAAGCATCCAGTATTGGGATCAGCATGTATTATGTCAATAGAGACGCATAAGGATAAAAAAAAATAGACGAATCATGGTCTGTGACAATACCATAATATCAAGTCTAGGCAATCAAACACTTCAAGTTTATTGATAGAGATTGTAATGGATGCGAATTAAGTTTCAGAGCTCAAACAACTTAAGGACGCCTCATCAGCCCAATAAGTTCTGGGCCAGTTGTGGTGTCTTTTGGACAAATATTACACTCTTAACTGTACTATTCTTGCCCATATATAGTCAAGGTTGCACAATGGTCAATGCCTCAATTGGCATGTTCTCACTCTCCAGCAAGCCTCAGATTCTTAACTATCTTAACCCAATGGATGAAGTAGCAAGTGTAGGAATGAACGAAGGCTATGACACATGAATTTTGAGATGCTCAGCTCATCCCAACCGACAAGAAATAGATGCATTGCCCATCCCTCGTTATATTAGTCAACCCGATACAACTTTGTTCCAATGCTTTTTATTTCTATGGAATGGCATGCAAAAAACAAATATGCAAATACAATAAATAGGTAGCAAACCAGGGCTAGTGCATTAAGCAAAATTACAAAATAATGAAAAATTATGTGTTCTAAGAAACCAATGTCATCAGCAGATGGTTGTGGGTCAAAAATCAAATAGAAACGCATAGTTCTCAAAGCATGTAATAATGAAAAGTAGAAAATAAGTTGGAGGGAATTTACTACTACTTTCAAATATTTTTTATGAAAGGAAAAAATATTACTTTCATCACCATGACATCAACCAATTCACCAAATTGCTTCATGTATTGCCGTAGACCTTCATCATCTACTTCCCAAGGAATACCCAGGATCTGCAATAATGCAACCAAGACAAGTTATGATCATGATAGCTGCATAACATGCCAGAAGTATAAGACAAGAAAGAAATGCATCATACCACAAGCTTCTTATTCCCTTGACACATTGTGCCTCCTGCTTCCTGCAGAATCAAACTCAAAAAAAATTATGACCAAGAAGCAAATAAATGAAGCAATCCGTTCCAAAAATGCAAGAAAACCACAGATACTGGCAAAAAATGTGTTTGTAAAATTATGGATGGGAATTCCAAGTGAATCACTGAAAAGTATATTTTTTAAAAGAGTCTATAAGATAATGTATTAAGCAAACGATACTGCCATGCAGATATAAGAGGCCATACTGTAGTCTGAAAGAGATTTTGGAAAAATATTATGCTATTTAATGAGTTGGCTATCAATCATTTAAAAAATTGTCCATTTAGAGGCTGAAAGAAGGCTGAGATAACTAATTACAATGTTTGATATAGATAATATCAGGGGACATTTTAGGGAAGGATCATATTACTTTAGGAATCCAGCTCGGACTTGATTAGTTAAGGTGTTCACGATCCCTAACAATGCACTACCTAATAAAAAGAAAAGAAAAAACATTATATAATTTATTTATTTAATGAGCAGTTCAGTTCCGATAACGAGATCCAAGAAAGCAAATTTTATGATCAGTTGCCAAAAATAATAATTTCTTGCAATTCAATAAACTTACAACCCAATATCATAATGACTTCCATTCCCAAAAAATGGATAAACAAAAAAAGCAGGCTCACAGAAATTGCATCCAAATTTTGCTACATTACATATATGCTTCATCCACCTTGGTAATGTATACTAAAAAGTACACTCGCTAGTTAAACTATGATGGAGAATCCATCATAAGTCACACCAAACAGGTGCTTACAATCTCTCTTCGCAAAAATAAGCTAATCGTAGTAGCCCAGGAAACTAGTGAAGCTGGTATGGAACCAGGCAACGAAAATTAATCAGGAGATATATATATATATGTGTGTGTGTGTGTGTGTGTGTGTGTGTGTGTGTGTGTGTGTGTGTGTGTGTGTGTGTGTGTGTGTGTGTATGTGTGTGTTGTTGTGTATATATATATATATAGAGAGAGAGAGAAAGAATCCTAGTTTACTTCTTGCTCAAAATGACAGTTTACAGTCAGAGAGCTCGGCATCCTGAAGACTGAACCTAAAATGGGCAGCCCAAATTATTTTCAAAGGGAGCTAGGTACAGATTCAAATGGTAGAAAAATAACTCACAGATTATAGCCAGCCAAGATCAATCTAATAGGGCCAGAAGAGTCAAAATTTGTGAAATTTCTTTTATACCATTCAATTGAACTTATAGTAGGAAGTCTAAATTATTCTCGAAATGAGTTAAGCAAAGATTCAAAGGAGAGGTAGTGAATTTCCAGAGGGTAACCAACCAAGATCAACCTTTTACCCTGGGAGGAGTCAAAAATTCATGAATTTTTATCCATGTTAGGGAATTGATAGTTTCATTGAGGATTTAACTGAGCATTTCATGCAATTATCCAAAAAAAAGGACCCATATATCTTGAGAGTAATTGTGAAACACAAATAAATAAAATAATAAAAATGCAAATTGTCTTATTTTACAAAAATGCGTGTGAAATGCATATGACAAAAGGTCCCAAAAAACTAATCATTCCGTTAAAAATTATGAACAATGGAGAAAGGAGCTTTACATAATTTTACAACCTACACCATCTTCCATGGTATCCCACTCTCAATAATCAAAGATTGAAACAAAAAATATAACAAAAGCAGTTATATACTAGCAATGAGACAATATAGTTGTATAGATATACACGTGTCAGCAAACAGCCCCATGACTACCATGACCTCAGAACAATTGGAAACAACATAAATAAACTCAAAAACATTCAGAAAATCAGTAGCATGCATCAAACAAGCCCTAAACAGGGCCAATATATATGTCCGAATTTCCATGGACTGGACACTAAAAACGGCTGAAAAATGATTTACACATAGTCAAGAACTTGGGCCTTCCAGTGACTAAAGCCCTGATTTTGGAGATAGAGAAAGAAAAAACAGAAACTTTCCTCCAAAGCTGAGAATTTAAAAATCATAAGGAATACAAATATTGACAAAAAAAAAACCAGTGAAATTTAGGTCATTTGAAGGTTATCAATAACCATCAAGGTAAACATAACTAATGCACTATAAATCAGTATAAATATGAGCAAAAAGGCGTACATATATGAGAAAAGTATCAAATAAATATTGAAAATAGATGATAAAGATGTACCATAAACAGGAGCGATCTCTCTCCCTCTGCAAATTGATGAGATGAAACCGCGAAGGTTGCTTATATTTGGAGCTAAATACCTAAAATAGCCCAAACTTCTTTTAAAATTAACAAATAAGACAAAGTTTTGACGAAGACACCCCTCACACTGCAAAGATTGCAAAGACTTCCTTTCGTGCTAATATCTATCCTCGTCTCAAATTAGCAGTGGGTATTAAAATCCATTTCAAATAGGTACCGGCCATAAAATATGTTTAAAAAAACAAATTTCTCTTCTTCATAATATTATTTTGTCTGAAATTAATATATTATTATTAATATTATTGTTTTCTTAGTGGTTCAGTATGTACCTTGTATTTTATAACAATATTTAATTAGATAACTTTTTTTTTGTGATTTTTAGTTAGTTTTAGCTATTACTCGCTAAAAAGATGCGAGTCTCAACAAATTATCTTTAAAAAGTTAAAACATCTTCTCAAAAAGATAAACTTATAATTGTCTATAAGTTTATCTTAGATAATTTTAAAATAGATATTACTAAACAACAGAGAACGTATTCTATACAATATTGTTTTCTTTTTCTTTTTACTATGTTAAGTTATTTTATAAATAAACTGAATGGCTATAAAGGAAGTATACATTAATCAAATCATCCTAAATAAAAACATTTTTTGGCTCGTACCAAACTCAGCAAGGCCATCAGCTACGTAATTGGCATCCCAACAAACATGTAAGAACGAAATCATCAAGTCCTCACAAATATCCATAACCTCTAACCACATCAGAAAAATTCTCCACGGAGGTCTAGTACACTTGGTACATCAGTTAATCATATTCAATAAGTCACCTTCCACAAAACAACATAAACTAGAGAATAATGTTGTTAAATTAATGTATTAATAGGTATAGTATGTACAGCCAAACGCCCCCTAAGGCATTTCAATAATATGGCATCCCTAGTAGCTCAAGTCAAATGACAACAATAACCTAATTATTGAGATCTAGCAGTCCAGAACAAGGGTCTACAATGAAAACTAAAGATCGTATTACTAATCCTAAACAACCAGCATAATTAAGTAGTTCTATATTGCTAACCCACATATGAACCTTTAACATATTCATGTTTCCAATCTCTTCCTCTTCTTAATTGTATTCATTAATCCCCACTCATGTTCCAGTTAAGGGGAAATCAACATGATCACTAATAAATCATCATGTTCCCACCCCAACAATGACAATTATTGTTATTAAAACTAAGGAAGTATTCAATTAGTGCACTAAAATCATTAAAATCTCCCCAGGAGAGCATGGTTGGGCCATTGGGGTCTGGTGTCGCTCAGTTGTTTCATTTGCTCAAAGTCTGTCAAAATTTGAACATGATTGTTAGACCATGAAAACCATTATTCTAACTATTATTTGTTGGCGTCTAATGATTGAAAAGGTGATATAAATTCACTTTAGATCAATTCAAGAAATGGAGAGAGATATTTAAAAATATTATCGACTCCCCACGTAAATGAGATGCTCATTGTCTTTATATAGAATGTAGAAGTTTCCATCTAGACATATAAATGTAATAGACAATCGCGACTTTCATATAAGGAGAAAGTTTATATAAGAATGCAACCATAAAATGTAGAATTAAAGATGCACTTAAAAAATTCATCGAAAAATATTGTTTTAATATTGAAAAACCCCCTAATTGATCATCTCAACATCTCGATGTATGAATATGAAAATAAAAAAAATATCTTGAGTCCTAGAAATAGTGCATCTTACAACAAATTATCTAGACCATCCATTTTCAAGATTTTCAATATTTTCGTGTGTTTATAGATCTACTTGATTTTAAGCATTTAGAACTTAAAATTTTATAATTAGAGATAATAATATATTTTCAGACAGTCCTAATAATTTTTTACACCAAAATTGCATGTTATGATAAAATTTGGATGTGCGCTTTAATTGGATTGTTTAAAGTTATCATAGAAACCACACATTTCATATAAATGGCGTCTTCTCATTGTTAATAATCACAATTTTTTTGAACTCCTGGTCATACATAAAAGGGTGTAATCAAATGGACATTAATCACATTTGCAATAAAAGGGGTTCAACTTTTTTATTTCCAAATGCAAAGACCCAAAGGTCAAATGAAATGGGACTATTTTAGGAAAGAGGCTAGGTGGTTTCCAATCCTGCAGACACCACCTACTAATACATTTAGAAAAGGTAACTAATAAATCTATATGAGAAAACGGGTAGGATGCCTATCTTGCCAACTAAATTACCCAAAAAATAAATAAATGAAATGTACCATTTTGCCTCTTTGTTTGGAAAAATTGCCAAAAATGTAAAAAAGGTAAGTACAAATGAGCTACTTCCTACACCAATCCAAGCTCTACTTTATTTTTTGGAGTTTTGATTTTGGTTTTGTTTGTTTGTTTTAGAAACTGTGGCAAAAACAATGGAAAAAAAATGCAGCGCACTCTTGAAAACAAAGAACCGGAAAACTATTAGAATTCGGAAGCCTGACACCTAGGGTTTTCAATGATTTTATTCCTCAGTTAAACTTAAATTTCTGAAAATTGGATATTTGTTTTTTTTTGGGTAATTCGGTGAGCATGACAGGCTCCTACGCATTTTTTATTTGGTTAGTGCCATTTTTTAATTGGTTAGCAGTTTTTTAAGCTTTTAGTCGCTTCCATAGCCACAATATGCAACTAAGGTATTGGGTGTGCTACTATCACAACCTGAGCCTCTTTCCAAAATTAGATGGTTCTGACTATTCCTCGAACAACTAATCGGCAAGAAGTTGAAATATAGAATGACAATTATATTTTCATATCCCACCCATCCATGGTACATGTAACGAGATAGATTGACTTAACAACCTATTGATCGTCTAAGATTTGCATTATAACACGTTCTAATTATTGTGTTTTATTCATTGGTTAGTTGGTTTTATTTGACTTTATTTTATTTTATTTTGGATGCGGTTTATTTTAAGCGTCCACCTTAAACAATTAAAGTAAGGCGCACCACTAAACCCTATAAGAAGATGTGGCTTTAGTGTTTGGAACTCTTAAGATGGTTTGAAAATCTACTCCATCCCTAATTGTGAACTTTTAAAGTTTCAAAAATGATGCAGATCGAGTAGATCTATAAACATTTTAAGATATTGAAAATAGACGGTCAAAAAATGTATTACACGATGTACTATTTTAATACTTTTTTTTGGTAAGTCACTATTTCAGGACTTGTAATCATCCCTTTTTTATATTATTCATCTCGGATCAAAGTTATCAATTGGAAGGTTTCTCAACATTGGAATAACATTTTATGATTGATTTTTTATACGCTTCTTACTTATATAATACACCTTTGATACCTTACATAAGCTTTTTCCTCCCCGTCTATGATGAAATGTTTGCTCAATTGAAATCCTTGCTAAAGGTAAAATCTATAGAATATATTTCACCATGTAAAACACAATAAAGCATGTAGATTTTACTATGCGAAAAAAATAAAAAAGCTATAGTATATGCGCTATATAAAACTCAAGAAATCTATTAATTATACTCATTAAAACATATATTTCACCATGTAAAAATTACAATTTTTTATATAGTAAAAAAAACGAAAGGAAAAAAAGAAAAGAGAGATGAGTCCCATGTAAGGGATGAGATAGTTGGTATAGAGCCATCTCAAGGAGAGAGAATAGAGAGGGAGATAATGGGAGAAGAGGAAGAAAGGGCAACGAGCTATTTTCAGTATGTGTATGTGTGTGAGAGAGAGAGGTAGAGAGAGATGGGGTTGAAAGAGTTCGACGAGAGAGAGAGCCGAGTGAAAGAGTAGGGAAAGAGAAAAGGGCACATAGCTAATGTAGAGAGTAGAAAGTAGGAGATCGAGAGAGAGAGGGAGGGAGATGGGATTATGGGGGAGTGTGTGTTGGTGTTGGCGGCACCAAAATCACCACCCCATAAAAGGTTTATTTCCTAAATGAAGGTTGAGTTGAACAAAGAATATGCATGATTATGCTTATTCTTATCTTATAGAGACTTGGTTGATATTACTTCCCATTGTGAGTATGTAAAATCACGATCTTTTATCGAATCATTATTTTTGTGTGCCCTAGTTGGGTCACCATATAGAAAACCAATAGGGACAGCGCCTATCGATGAAGGACGCCAAGATGAAGGAAACTAAGAGAGTATCTTGAAAAATTAAGGAGGCCAATAGAGAGATCTTATTGATGAAGGAAAGCTAGAGAAAGTAAGCTCCAATTAGGTAATATCTGCTAGTATTTTTGGTTTAAAAATTACCTATTTGTATTTCAAAACAACAAAATGGTTTTGTAGTTTTTTTAGAAGTTGTATTCTGTAGATAGATAAAGTTGTGGATTCTTTGGCCCATATCGAAGAGGAGATCATTTTACGAGCATATTTAAGAGTAGGCATTCACATGCCTTATACTCTTAGTACAAATGTGAGAGAGATGATGCATGTGCAGAGCACACAAAGCGTGTGATGCGTATGTGAGTGTGCGAGGGCGTCGGCGCAAAAGCACTTGATGATGCACTTTACACTTAAGAGGCTACATGTAACTTATAGTTGTTGGTAGTATATATAGTCACTACTATAGTAATGTGTAATCACCTTGTGACTCTATAAAACATTTTTTCCCATACGAGAAAACAAGTGGGATAACCTTTGTCTCTACTCATTTTCCCGTATCCCAATGACTAATTATCCTTCTTATCTTTTTAAAATCGTTCCATTTTTAGGTTTCATTTCACCCACCAATTTTCCAACAATATCTCTCATTGTTGTTTCTTTTTAGTGTAGCGAGAGAAAGAGAAGGAAGGGAGGATCCCTGATCTCGATCCATCAATATGTTTGGGAAGATAAGTATTTTCACTAAATCTTGTAATCCTCGTTGTTTGGTGAATTTGCTTGCCTCTTTCCCCATGGTTGTTGCTATTTGTGGCAAACCATGTAAATATTTGTAGTTTTGTGGTGTGTATGGCAAACCGTGTAAATATTTGCATCCTTTTCCATGGTTGTTTCAATGCCGGAAAATCCTCCAACTACCCATCTCGACGTAGAAATATATAGATTTTAAAAAAATGAATTCCAAGTCCCAAAAATAGTGTATAATATAACACATTATCTAGATTGTTAGTTTCAAAAAAAATAAAACCTCTATAGATCAACTTCATCTGTATCGTTCATTGAAATTGCAATTTTACATCTACGAATGGAAATAGATTTTTAAGTTATTATAAGTTTTCTCGCACTAGAGATGCATATTTACATTGAATTTGAAGGTGCACGTTACTTTGGTTATTTAAGGTGAATGCCTTATACAACCGATATATTTTAGCTAGCATGTTTATTTTGGAGCATAAAGTTATTGGCTTATGGAATATAGTCCCTTGTGCTTCAGTATATCACTTTCTATGTGCCAATATATTCATGTGTAGCTCAAAGGAGAAGATTCTATAAGCCAAATGATTTACGGTGCAATATGAGTCTGTTGGGTTTTTTTTTTTTTTGACAAAAATATATTACATTTTTTATTTAAGAATAGATAACTATAAAAGTCAATTATCAATGATAATCTATCATCAAGATGGTAGGCTCATTTTTTTTTTTCCTTTTTATGTTATTGTATACCTTTTTCTTTTTATTCTAATCGCCCAATGGGTAGTCTAAGAAAGGTGATGACCTTAAACTTTATTTTAACCCGTCCTAAATCCAAATAAAGGATGTGGGTTGTGGTAGGTAGGCAGCCAATGTAAAATTTTACCAAAACTTACCATGAATTTAGAATCTATATTATAGAACAGTTGTGACAGTTCGGCTCTATGAAGCATAATGTTGGGTGGTCAATAAACAACATCCCTATAGAATGAATGTAGCTGAGATGATGATGTAGAGATAGATGAGTGGCAAGACTCGAACGGATAGAATTTGGAATGAATACATTTGAGATAATTTTGGTGTGACACTAATAGACGATAAGATGGGACAAATTAGACTTAGGTGGGGTTAGCTATGTGCGGCAAAGACCTAGTACAACACTTATGAGTTAGCTCAAGTGGAAGGTTAAAAAAGAAAAAAAAGTAGGTAAAAAAAAACGTAGTTGGAAGTAGTGATAATAGATATGGAAACTCATGACCTCATGAGAGTATGCAGAATGACCAACCAGGATTCGAAATAGTCGACCTCAATTAGTTCGAAAAAAGGTATGATGATGATCATCACCCAATGGGATCCATATGCATGCAAATTTAAAGATAACAATTGAATCCAAAGTGGCCCACCACCATAAACGTGTAAGAACTCCACAACCAAATGTTTGTTTTTTGCCCCCCACATTGGCATTGGAAGGTATCAAATACTTACAAGCATGGGCTCATATGGTTTTGTTGATCATGGTTTATTGTCCCTCGAGTGTGTATTTTATGCTCTCGCTAGAGGAATTTTGTACGATTACTCGGTCTCATAGAGATCTAATAATGGAATATTTATTGATTTGAAAGTTTGGGAGCCACCTAGAATCATAGATGATTATATTCAAAAGAATTTATTTTTTCCATAGTTTTGAGTTTTTTAACACTTGAATTTCACCTTTAAAAAATTAGACAACTTCTATTGATATTAAGGCGTTACAAAAATTTTCAATTGACATACAGTATGGGATTTAAAAGACGAGTAATGATCCTATAGGATTTTCTCCCACCCATGTGTGTAGGACCCAAAAGAATCACCATTAAATTTGACATGGATATCTATAAAAGTTATCATATGAGTGTGAAACTTGATTTTTTTAGAGATCCATGCTAAATTTAATAGTGATCATTTGGGATCCTGCACACATGGATGGGAGAGGGGTCCTATAGGATCATTTCTCTTAAAAGATTTTGTCAAAACAATTAAGCCTTCTAAAAGGGTACAATTGGCATATAGATGTATCCATAGCTGTAGAGGTAAGGTGCACCTTCAAATTTTATCAAGGTATATAATTTTGATGTAAAATGTTATTAGGATTATCTCAAAATCTATTTTTATAGCTAATTATAAAATTTTAAATTTAAAAAATGGTTAAAATCAAGTAGATTTATAAACATATGAAAATCTTGAAAATGGGCAATGTAGATAATATATTGTAAAATGCACTATTTATGAGACTTAAAAACCTTTTTATTTTTCATGGCCATACATCTTGATGTCGAGATAATCAATCAAATGTTTTTTCAACATTAAAACTACGTTTTCCGATCGATTTTTGAAGTGCATCCGTAGTTGTACATTATAAGGTTGCATCCTTGTATAAACTTTTTCATTTCTAAAAAATGTGCGGTTTGTATAAAGCCTAGGCTCTAAACAATCAAAGTAAAATGCATCTTAAATAGTATTGAGAATTATCTTTCAATATTGAAATTTTTTGTGATAGTCTTAAAATATATTTTCATATTTAATTATAAAATGTAAAGCTTCAAAAATATTGTAGATTGAGTAAATCTATAAAAATTTGAAAATCTTAAAAATTAATGGTCCAAAAAATATATTAAAATATACATTATTTCCAAAACTTGAAAACTTTTTTTTTTTTATGACCATGTATCTTGAAGTCGAGATGATCAATTTAAAGATATTTGAGCATCAAAAAAAGTTTGTAAGGGTTTATATAAACTTTTTATTTGGGAAAATATTGAGTTTTGCCCAAGAAAGTAAATGGACACTATGCTCCACCCGGAGCATGAGATCTTTGGGCCCCTCCCTCGAATATGCAACCGACGTTTCCGAAAGGGAGTGGCGCCTCTCGCTGGGTCGGTTTCTCCATCTCACTCAAGTCTCTCTCTGTAGAACTGAGTCTCTCTCTCTAAAAACTCAGTCGCCTGGTTCCTCTGTTCTACAAGTTTTTACCCGCATAACGCTTCTCCCTCCCGCCAAAAAGGCCCATCCTTTCCGCCTGGCTCCAAGCTCTCGTCTCTCTCTTCCAACTGCCCAAGACCCATCTCTCTCTCTCTCTCTCTCATTTTGTGGTAACTGGGAATAAATTCCAATCCCTTCTCTATCTGACATTTTTGATTGCAGGGAACAAAATCCAATCCCTCTGTCTCTCTCTCTCCCCCTTTTCGATAACTAAGAACACAACCCAATCCCTCTCTCTCTGGCCATAATAAGATGGTGAACGCGTTGAGCTCTGGCGGGTCAGCAAAGCTGGTGCTGATAACGGGCGTTAGCAGAGGGCTCGGGCGCGCTCTCGCTCTAGAAATGGCCAAAAGGGGCCACACCATTGTTGGGTGCTCCAGAAGTCAGGAAAAGCTCCATTCTCTCTCTACCCAACTATCGCCTGATGATCCTTCCAAGCATCTTTTCGTGCTTGCCGATGTGGTTAGTGGAACCTTCTGGAATCATCATTTTCAATCGTTTAATTATTTATTTATTATTTATGGGCTTTGTTATTTTGTTCTCATGGCAATGATTTTCATTGCTTTACTTGTTAATTTCATTTTCATCATCATCAGGTTACACTAGTCTTGGGGCGGTGCCGTTCCTCTCGTTCATGGGCCATACTCTCTGGTTACACTAGTCTTGCTGTGCCATTCCTCTCGATCATGGGCCATACTCTCAGTGAGACCCACCATATCTTTTCTTACTACTTCCATCTATGTCCTTCCCCTTAGCTCTTCTTTTAGATCATTCCACTTGAATTTAATCACCCTACTTAATCAGTTCTGGTCTAGGTCGATGCTCTACTAAAATCTACTTTCCCTCATTTTATCGCCTATTGGAGCTCACCATGAGTTCACACGAATATATTATTTTATCCTTCCTTGTCTTTCCACTCGTTCATCTCAACTACACTTATTGTATGGATATTATGTTGTTTTTTGACTGCCCAATATTCTGTCCGATAGAGCATGACGGGTCTTATAACCGTCCTTAGAATTTCATCTTCAGTTTCATTGGTATGGGACGATCACATAAACTCTAGAAACACATTCCCACATCATCCACCCAACTCTAATTTTATGAGTAACATCTTCCTCAATCTCTCATTTTTTAAAGATAATCGACCCAAGATATCGAAAATAATATATTTTAATTACTTCACGACTATCAATTTTAACTAATTCATCGTTTCTACTCCTATTATTACTAAACTTGCATTCCACATATGATCTTAATCTGGTTAATTTAAAACTTTTAGATTCTAAAGCAAACTTCCGAGGTTCTAACTTTGTGTTAATAGTCTCATCAATCAAAACTATGTCATCCGCAAATAAGATAAACTACAAGGTCTCATCTTGAAGATTCATAGTTAAATCGCCTATATATTTATATACACATCTCATATTTTCATTACACACACAAAGTGCACATATGCATATAGTTTATATAAGGCCTAGGCTTTATGAAAACAAAGTAAACCTCACCGTGAATCCTTGTTTGGAAAGCACTTTGGGCATCAGAAATTCCCATGATTTCTCTAAAATAAATTTCCAACACCGATTGTAAAATTTGAAGCTAAAAAAATAGTACAGATCTTGTGAATCTATGAACACTTATTTTTAGGGTGAAATGGAGTGTTTATATAATGTATTACAATGTGCACTATTTTTAGGGCTTAAAATCCTATTTTTTTTCACAATCATAATGGTCAAGACCGAGGTGATCGATTTGAAGGTTTTTAGATGTCAGAACTGCAATTCTCGGTGAATGTTAAAGTGATGCTTTACTTTCTTTGATAGGGCTGCAGCCCTATTAAAACATATTCCTATATATATATATATATATATATATATATATATTTATCATCACGCTACTTGTTTTTTGAGGAAAGGATTATATGTGTGTACTCCCCCAAAAAAAAATAAAGGAAAAAGAACTAGGAGAAGAACAGAAGAACGAGAGAAATGAGGTAGTGGTGAAGTCTGAGTTAGTGAGAATGTAAAGAAAAGAAAGGAAGAATATGAGAGCAAAGAGAAGAGAAAAGAGGGAAAAAGAAGATACATAAAGAAGTTACATCAATACAGTTAAAGAGAACATGAAAAAGTAAAGTAATTGTAAAGGAGGGGAGAAAGAAAGAGTGAAATTTTTATGTCTTCTATTCCCCGAATATCCTACATAACAACCTAAAGTTTTGTGTTTTCTATTCCCCCTTCTATAATTTGTTTTTGTTCTTTTTTTTTCTCATTTGTTTTCCTTCTTTTTTCTTTGGTAGTGGTAAGGGTAAGAGAAAAGGTAAAGAGTAAAGGATTCGTAGGCTAGGAGTGTGACAAAAGGGTCGAAATTGTGTGTGTGTGTGTGTGAGGAGAGAGAGAGAGAGAGAGAGAGAGAGAGAGAGAGAGAGAGGAATGATGGTATATTATGCGGAAAGACACAGAGAGAAAGAAGTCATATGGGGCTGACATTTATTCTTACTAATTCTTGAGCGCCTTCTTGAGCCAGTCTATCTAAAGTAGAATTGGCTTCTCTGAGGATATGTTTGAAGGTCACTAGGATTCTTCTGCACAGAAAAGATATATGTTAAAAAATACATGATAACGTCCAAAGGGGCTGAATGTCATTAAATGCCCAGGCTATGACATTTCTTGAATCAACCTCAACTGAAAGACCATAGTGTTGGGATACTAGATGAATGACTCTCTTTATGCCTTTAAGTAAAGCCACTGCTTTAGCCTTAGTACAGTCGGTGACGCCTATGGAGCCTGAGAAAGAGAGGAAACCTTGGTTACCTAGGGAGGAGCCATCAGTATCGAGTTTGAGGAAAGCCATCAGTATCGAGTTTGAGGAACCTACACTGCTAAGTCTAGGTGAGATATTGGCCAAGACAATAAAGTCTCCTAATCATGAAGGGCATGGGAGATTGTAATATTACAATATGCTAGAATTATTTTGTAGCCCAAAAATAAATGTCTGAGAGTAAGGAATCTTTGAGAGAATGGAATTGTCTTGATGTACTACGAAGGATTCTTGCATTCCTCTCCTTCCAAATCGCCCAAAAGAGGGTGAAGACTCCTATGATCCACAAATTCCTATCACTTTTAAGAAAAAGGGGGAACAGGAAAGCCAAAAACAACTATGGTATGGAAGGAGGGGTAGCCCATTGAAGGCTGAAAAGTTGGAGGGAATACGACTAGAGAGAGTATGTTACTCGACAATGGAGAAACAAGTGGGAGGCAGATTGCTCTTCTTGATATAGAGTACATTGGTTTGGCATTGGCAGGCCCTCTCTTTGGAGCTTGTCAATGGGGAGTGGCTTCCCTTAAGAAAGAATCCACACAAAAGCTTGGAACTTGTGTGGTATAGGAACAAACAACCATATCCTATTCATAGTTACGTGAAGCGATTCAGAAATTAATTCAATTTAGGAATTGGAAGAGCAAAATCGCCGCCTAGAACGTTCTTGTTTTTGATATCGACGTCCGTACGTGGGGGACAAGATTCTTATGTTTAGGAATCAAGATTAGACTAAAATAGAATCAAGATCCCTACATAGATAGAATTTAGATTCCTGGTTCTTTGGAATAGTTTCCGACCTAGCTAGAATTGACCAATATGGAATCGAGATTTCTTCATTTATGGAGTCGAGATTTCGACATCTTTGGAATTGAGAGGGAACTGAGAGGGAAACAATACATGTTTCAATGCCATTCATTGACCGACATGCCACACATGCACGTTTACATTATTTCTAACATCTTGGAGTTGCAGTCTTCCCTTTGGATCAATTCCATGCATATTTTGAAGAATTAAGTAAAAAAAGTGGGCCACCATTTTGGTTCCTATTGGTTATTTCATGCCAAAAAAGATGACTATAGCTTGAGATTGGATGTTTAGCTCGAGTACTTTGATGCCTTGAAAACTTGTAATCATCACTTCTCATAAAAAAGCAAAAAAAAAAAAGAAAAGATGGGGGGGGGGGGGAGTGGTAGAATTTCAGTAAATGTGAAACTAACTAGTTTCAACAAGTGTAGAATTGAGATTCACCAATTGCAGAATTGAAAATCAGCAAATATTGAAAATGAGATTTTATAAGTATGGAAATCGAGATTTTTAAAATAAGGAATCAAGATTCTAGATTTCACGAAAACGGGTTTCGTGAAGATTCTTAGTCGGAATTGTTGAATCAAGGTTCCAAATCGGGGTCGTGGCCTTCGGTGAGAGATTTGGTAACTATGAACCTATTTGAGAAGGAGAGGGACTTCGTAGAGGGGGCAAGAATAGAATAAAAGGAGGCATCAAATTTACTTGGGGGGAAGGAGACTAAATTAGAGTGTCCTCGCCTGTGGGGGGAAAGAAGGCATGAGACAAGGATTGAAGGATTTCAATTTCTCTACATAGAAGAGGCAATAGTATAAGGGAGGAACAACAGATTTCCAAGGGCACTACTCCCATTCAACTCTTTCCAAAATCTGAGTCGTTCCCCATTACCAACCTTAAATCTAATGTTATTCCTAACAGCCGTCTTGCTCCCGGCGATAATGTTCAGGCTGCGGAGGTTCTGTATCTAAGAGTATTGGGACCATACTTGGCTTGGATCATCTACTTCTGAAGGATGTCATCAGGTCTTGTGAATTTCCACCATCAGTTGCCCAATGAGGGTAATTATTCTCTTTGATCCTCCGATCGCTAAGCCTCCTAGCCTTTTAGCTTACAAATTCTTTCCCAAGCATCAAGGTGAAACTTATGACCCTCAATGGCCTTGCCTGAAATAAATTTCCCATGAGCTTATCCAACTGCAGGGGCATAGAAGAGGGAATTTAGGAGAGGGACATCTGTAGATAGGAATATTAGCCAAAGTGGCCTTGTTGAGAGTTATTCTACCCTTGAGAGAAAGGACCCTGCCCTTCCACTTGGCTAGCTTCCTGTTAAACTTCTCCAAAACGTTGTCCAAAAAATGTTTTCTAAGTCTGGGAAGTCCAAGATAGTTAGCTGGGAAGCTATCAGTCCTACAACCTAGGTTATCGGCAAGTAGACTGATTTCGGAGTTCGCCATCTTAACTTCCAACATCTTAATTTTGGTCATGTTGACCTTCATCCTTGTGGAAATTTCAAAGGTTCTGAGAAAAATCCAGAGGTTCAATTGGATTGGGGCAGTACCACATATGATTAAGGTGTTGTTAGCGTACAATAGGTGGGAAATAGTAGGGTGGATAGCTGAAGTTCTAAAACCCGTAAGCGAACTAAGGTTTACAATCTAGAGATGGATCTAGAAAAGTGTTCCCCGATGAAGGTGAACAAGATGGGAGACTGGGGTCAGCTTGTCTCAGCCCACTATAACTAGCGATAAAACCAACCAGATAACTATTAGTCATAACAGAGAATGAGGGGTTGGAGATACAATCCCAAATCCAAGACCTCCACCTACTACTGAAACACATGTT